GCTGGGTGTTATTGGACAGCGGTGTTCTACGGCGTTGTTTGTTGGGCAGATTTCTTTTGTTGCTTGTGTACCGATCAGACGTCCAAGTCCCGTAATTCAGGTTGTCTGTTCTTGATATAGTAATAATATGTAATAATTAATAACCACGAACTGTACATATCGAATTAGAAAAAGCAGATGGTTTGTTTTATCGCAGATTGCGCCAATAATCGTGTCTCTGTTTGAATGTCTTGATGGTGAAGTTCCTTATTTCTGGACATGTTCCTGTTGTTCGCTGGTTTTTTTGCCCTGATTTATTAAATTTTGAAAGCGGGAAATAGCTATCTGTAGGCATCCCATGCCACTAAAGTTTACTTTACTATAAGCATCCTCGTTTCTATAACTTGATGCTCTTATGTTTCTCGCAGTATGGTGAACACTGAACAGTTTTATGCAGTCCGTTATACACAGGGAAAAATGCAGTGTTTGCTAATCCAGCTTCATTCAGCCGGTAACAGACATCAATAAGCAGTATGCTAAAATAGCTCTCTAAACGGCAAGTGTTTGACATTTTCAAAGTTGGAAATATTTTCGATTAGTAACGTACTGTACACTAATACGATTCCAAAACCGTCAACAACCTGCCGCCAAGATTGGTTTATTTGCAGAAGAAGCAAGCAGAAATCACGCATCACGTCCAAGGTGGTACTACTTAGACGCGATGCTTAGTAATAATAAATAATAGATGCTTCATGAGTAATGCCTTGGATAATGCATAATTAGGATGACCGCTTTTCAGCAGATCAAAAACGTATTTCCCGCAGTTGGCTGCAGCGCCACGAATGATGCTGCCATTTGTGACCACTACATTAACAAGCGTCAAATATAAGCAGGCCGTTAGTATCTGCTGCATGACTGCCGCGTACGTATCCCTTATCTATGCACAAGCAATGACTAACAGCAAAAAAATGAAAACAACATCAGCCATTAATAATCGATACATATGATGGGAAAACGTGATAACTGAGAGAGGAATGAATCGCGTCTTGTATGTCCATGAGTCCATCTGAATTTTTTTACATCGCGGGCACAGACAGCCGTTTTGTCGCGAGAGAAACAGTAACTTGCAAATCATTTTAGCTCACTCTCTCTCTTTGATTTGCAAATGAATTTGCAAATGAATACAAAATGTGATCCTGCTGGCCGTTCCAATTAAGTACACGTAGCTAGCCAGTAATCATGAACGCCAGGCAAGCTGCAGTTAAGGCTGCCGAAGGCTGAAATAATTCTTAATTTTTATTAACTGGTACAAATTTAGAATTATTTCAGATGGTTACTACGACTAAATGCTACAACGACTAAAAACAGGATGCTGTAAGAAGGCTTAACGAGACCGTGGCAGTTAAAGAACTAAGCGCCAAAAATGTCTGCTAGAATGCAAGTCGATGCCCGATATTAGCCACGGATGTGTGTATGATTTATGAAACCGAGCTCTTTAGCTCGGTTTTATAATTCAGCTGTGTATCTGCTGGTTGGCCAATGGTGGCGTTGTTATGATTCAGTTTTTTGTGACTCAGAATCAGTGCATGATAGCCCGCGCACCGGAGCGTTTTTGGCCTAGATACTGTCGACAGACGTGTCTTCACACGTACATATTTGACACTCAACATTATTCACGACTTTAAGCGTATTCAGTGATCAATATGCAATATTTAGAGCAGTTAAATACTGTCAGATTACATACATATAATATACAGGACATACAGATCAAACTACAGTATTAATGATGTATTTGTGATAGACTTTTTAAAGTAATTCGCAAATGTGTATGATCTTTTCTTATTTGTGCGGTTGTGGTTACCGATTACCGGCCACGTGCGGGAGAAAGATACCGCAATGGACCAAATGGCGTAAAGGCCCCTTTTATTCGTGGCAGTAGCAGCGGCGAGGAGTACCACGCATTTGGCCACTGGGGCTGTACCTTTTAGCTGGCAGAATTTTTTGCAGCCTGGACCGGCACAGGGCGTCCCATGCTCGTCGGTCTTGTGCGCGGTTAGGCAACTTTGGAAGCGGAGTGTGTTCCTCCAATGTTCGCGTTTCGGTGGGATGAAAATGCGAGCAACGCGGCCAGCATGAGAAAAACAATCTTAGCAATAACAACGACGGTTATCGCCCACCATGTAACATTTAAAACAATTTCACCCAAGGTATCGTCATGTTTTATGCCTTACAGGCAGTTATTATATTACTAATAATATTAATAATAATATATTATATTAATATATTAATATAATATTAATATTACAGGCAGTCGTAATATTAATAAGCGGTGACCGGCCATTTAATCGACGAAAATTCGTCGACCGTCACTTCGTCGAGCAGACACGTATGTCGGACTCTTAACGACGTTGAGCAGTGTTTAACTAATAACTACTGTAGAACATTTTAGCTTACTTAGTTTTTCTTGTGTTTTATTATGTTTCTTTGTGTTCTTATATTTTCCTAGGTTTCCAAATGTTTTCTTATTTTTTTCGTATATTTTAAGTACTTTCTTATGTTTTTCTTAGTCGTCGCCCTTGTGACGGTCGACGTATTTGGGTCGGTATTGTGTCGGTCGACAGTTTGGGCTTTCTAGTTCCGTCACCGAAACACAGTACAATCTTAGCTCCATGCTTTAGAGCTAAACAGCTTGAAACTTGAATATGAAACTTTAATTTGAAATTTTATGCTCGCGGCGCAGAAAAAGTTTCAAACGCTTGCGGTGATCATGTGAAAATACTATGCACTTGTTTATTGGCGAAAATTTGCACAATGTGCTGGAATATGGCGAAGCCGGTCAGTACAAAACCAGTAGCATTTATTACAGTTTGATGCTACGCCGCGACACTAAAGTTGAGTCAACCCGAGTATGTGAAAACCACGAAAAGTAGCTTGAGCGATGGTAACACTGCTCAGACAGCCCAATTTACGTGAAGCACGCCGCTAATGCGACGCCGGGATGCGTGATATTGAAATTACGCTTATGTTCTATTCGTTGTGGGAAATCTTCAACTTGCTCCAGCAGCTATCAGGCTGGTTAGAAGAAAGCACGATCGAGTTTCTTTCGTTAATTGCAGTTTGCAAAAGCTGTGGTGTCACTGTAATACAAAAGCTGTGGTGTCACTGCACAGCAAAGACTCTATTAAGATATTATTGCCATACGATTCATACCTAATCACTTGCTGCAAATATGTATATTGTATAATGGCAGTACAATTCTGTGGCTTGCATACTTTAAGTAACTGCCATACAACAAATTTTTGGGTGTGAGATCATAATAATATGTAGAATCTTCCACGTATTTCTCGTCATCCTGACATTACGAAAATAATTAAATTCATAATTATTATGGACAAGTTTCGTTTTCGATTCGTCAAGGCAATCCCGAAACTCGCTAAATTAGGCGTTAATGTTACCTACATTCAATAACATTTATTCTATATGAACATCAGCTTTAATAATTACACAGTTCATTATATTGCTCTTTCTGTAAAATAACAACTTCTATCTGTTTTGCATTTGCTGAATTCTAATTTCTTCTTAATTTTTTTCAGTTGGGCGCAGAAAAAAGATTCAGGTAAAGCCAGTCAATTATTGCAACCTGCAATAACCAATTTTTGGGCCCGATTGTTAATTTCAGTGCAGTATCGGCTGCGGCGCGGTATCAGTTTTACACAACACACATATATTATAAGAGGGGATGTCACTGGCTCACCTAGATAATTAGATAAATAAGATAATCCCTGTAATTACTGCCGTCAGCCGGCTGGAGCATGACCTTGTCGCTCTACATGGTGCTTTTGTACCACGCCAGATTTAGCTATATGTATTTGTATTACCGTCACACTCCAGTCGGGTGACGGCAGCAATACAGGGGATTCTCTAGGTGCGCTACTGACGCACTTCTCTCCCCCTCGTACATTATGTATGCGTGTACATACATTTTGTGTGCCATAACCGCATTGATACCGCACCGCATCGACATTTTTGCGCTTTACTGTTTACAGTAAAACCTCCCTGATACATACACTCTTATGTAGGTACACCCTCTGTATCAAGTACACCAAAACGCTAACCAAAATTACTGTACACTGCAAAAACCTCTTAGTTCCGCACACCCTCTACATTACGTACGAAGTTTTTTTAACGAAGGTGTACGTATGAGAGAGGTTTCAATGTACCTGATTACTACGTACCGCGAAAAATCTCCTAATGAATGTAAGTGTGCGCTTCGTAAGAACTCACGGACATGACTGTTTAGAGGTAAAGCAATATCTGTTCTCTTCGTTTCTGCGTCCTGGGCTTGTCCTAACGTTCGCAGAGGTGCGGTGTATATACGAGGCGGCGAGTGTGGCCACCGGACAGCGGTACTCGGTTCTCCCACGGTAAAAGGGTGATGACATTGAATTTTTTATGATCTTTCACAGCTTTCACAGACAGGAATTTTAGCGCCGTTCTTGCTTGGAACCCACCGTCGTCGGCCTGCGAGTATGTTTCGTTACCGAGGCACAATATTTTCTCTCTCTATGACACCGATGACTCCCCAAATAAGCATATTCGTCAGTATCCTTTAAAATCATGGCCGGTGTATTTGCTCAGTTCACTATCCCAGAATCCAGCCCGATCTTCTTTTTATCGAGAATATAATTATGAAATACGATGTACAAGAACGTGCGTATTCGCAACCACCTTAACAATGATTATTATGTGCAACGCTTCGAGTACTGGCGTATTGGCGTATTGCAACAAAAAACACTTACTTTCGAGTACCGTTTATCAGCAGAGCAAATTCGAAATATTTACAATAAATAAGAACTTTTGATTGAGCTGCACACCTTCGAAATAACTAGTTGTAACTGATATTACATGAAAGCTTTTTACTTTTGTTGTTGTCAGAGAGCAGTCGTGCGGGAGAAGACGTGCTGATCAACAAAAAAATTGACGAATAACCGGAAATAAGTACTTTATCACCATATGGCACTTCCATACGAAACCATGGATACGGTAATAAAAGCAAACATGAACCATGGTAATCAACGTTCTAAAACCACGGGCGACTATAAATGCTACAACCCAAACAAATAGTCCACAAACTTTTGAAAAGCATCGCGACAGAATTTGCTTGCCTTGGCTCTATATTCTATCGTTGTTTTCTTCGATCGTCGCGGATGACCTTCGGAGACAAATACGCGACCTTTAGTGCACAGTGATCGACTTCAAAAGCGGTGCCGTAGGAAGTTGCACGGTGGTCATATCCTGGGCCAGAATGTGCTCGTGAATAGCCACCAGAGTGCTCCGACACTCGAACGTGTGGTCAATTAAAATAACCACACCGTCTGATTGTGTGGTTGCATTTTGAGTACGGGAGAATATGAACGTTCCCTCGGAGCAATTTGCGACAACGATGTCTCCACAGGTCCTCCACATCTCATTAGGGAGTGCAAGTCCCGTACTTGCTGCCGTCGCGGAAGAAGTATTGTGAGCTGCTGCTAGGTCGTTGTGAATGTAATCCAAAACTTCCGTGAATTTCGTGAAACACTGGCTGCTCAGATCAGAGCGAAAATCGAGTCGGTTGGCGTGCGAATTCTCCGGGTCGGTCGAGCTGAGAGTGTACACTCCATTGCTACATTCCGCGCTGATCACTTCTTGTTGATCTTGCTCGATGTCCTTTTGCTGGGTTAAGTTGGACAGTTCCAACACCACCATATGGAGGTTGTACAATTTATATACGCAGGCGAATGACCGATCAATGCGAAAGACGACAGTGGTGTCCTCGGCACGTTGTAGATCCGGCTGGGACATCGTCAAACGGCCAGACGAACAGTTGATTTCAATAGGCCTAGGTTCCGCACAAATTGTAAACGGATCAATGTTATTAGTTTCTGCTGCGTTTGTGATCATGGTGACTGCCGTAGTCGGGATGGCTGTACTGACTGCTGCTGTCGATGAAGTATTGCCTGAAATAAAAGAGCACAGTATGATTTATTAACCTCTACACGTACAATCGTCAGTAAACCAGCCAGGTGTCAAACTGTTTGGAATCTTTACAGTGTGGTCAAACCGCAGTGGCAGAATTCTTAATGGCTCGCCATATCGGTACAATAAAAATGAGTCTGATGCACAGGACAGCCAGATGAATCTGTCAATCGAAATGGTTCTTTTCATCCAAGATATAAAATACTCCATTTCACAGCAATTGCAATCTCTGAAATCTTTGCAGAACGCATTGTTTTCGAAATAAAAGTCAGCCCGAAGAGAAGAATTCAAACCAATACTGTCCAGTACGCCATTAGGAATAGATTGCAATGAATTTCCTTCTGTCATGTTAGCTGATTCACTTATATGAATAACCGCTCTTGTTCCTTGTTAACTTTTCTATAAGTCATTAAGGATTGTTACTTTTACTTTATATCTGATTTCCTATCCCTTTCCATCCTTATTTTCTCTGTGTATATAATCAACTTGTACTGAGCGTACAAGTCAGTCTGGTGTTGAATTGCATTAAACTACGGAAATTCCAAATGTTATACGAGTAACATTTCACTTCAACGTTTAAAAGCTGGATGGAAGTAAGAAAAGGACTTCCACTCAGAGTCAAGGAACACATTTTCGGTTTCTGGTGCGCAAGACTGAATTGTTCCTGTATGCAGAAAAGCAGTGATTCACTGATTACAATGTGCTGCACATGTCTGCTATGCTGAGAAGCAACCGCTTTTTTTTAAAAAGAATTTAAAACTTACTAAGGTGTCTTTCAATGGATACAGAGCTTGCCAGTCAAATGTTTTCAAGGCAATGTAGCGCAGCCACAGTTCGCTAAGTTGCGGTTTGACAGACGCTTCACCAGCCAAATTTTCAAACGCATCTACGCTGACAGTACTAATATCATTGCATTCGAGGTCCAAATATAACAGCTTGCCGAAGCCGGCAAAATGCCGGCGATTAATGGAGCCGATTCTTGAGAAACGAATTGACAGTCTTTCAATATTTTGCCTGTTGTCAGAGGCCCACGACTGCGCCTGGTGCGTACAGTCCACACAGGACGTACTTGCACTCATTGCTTGCCGTTATCGCCTCTCTCGCTTGTACGTACGTTGCTGCATTGCACTATCCGCTGAAGTGGATATACGCAGCGCATACACTGAGCCACACTTGCTCTCTCGTTCCTCTCTCGCAGTATGACTCAGCGTTCATACGCTCGCGTTGATAGAGTCCAGTCTGCGCATCATCACACAGCTGATGGCACACAGCATCGTGTTTGCTGCCAGCACTTCTTTCACGCCATCAGACGCTCAAGAACCTTCCTGGCATTCACATGCTATTTAGCCATCAGTGCTTTGTTCTTGCTTTCCTGCTATAACGCAGCATTTGTTCCCCTTTATTTGTACAATAAAGCTCACTCGTGATCTCCTCGTGCTTGTCTGTTACATGGTAGCAGCTTCTTGCGGTTTTCGATCTTTCGGAATCTCTGAGGAGACGGTGAAGGCTTAACTCGCGGAGAATTTGTGAGGAACCTGAAAGTCACTGTCAGATAGATTGCTGAAGCAATCTCTGTCTTAACTTTGATCGGATTGATCGCATCGTCTTACAGCTGAGGAATAACGGGGGTCACTGAAGTGATTCTTGCCCAGCTGGTGAGCACAGTTTTTTTTGTCTCTTCCACATTGAAGAGCACGTTTCCCAACAGCACGGACTTCTCCCAACTAAAGGATCAGACTCGAACGAGAGTCTGCAGCGCGATAGGATTAATCCAATAATACGGGGACCATCGGTTTGAACACCGACCCGCAACTTTACTAGCGGATTTCAACTCGGAAACGACGGATTTCCGACCTTGGACGGAGGAAATCGAGCGGAACCGACACCGACACCGACACCGGTAAAGTAACGGTTCTAGGTCGATTTTAGCCGAAACTAGGTCGGCATTTCACTTTCTAACGGTAGAAAACGATTTCTATCCGTAAAATTTAACTTTTTAACGGTTGAAAAGTAATTTCTGACGGAGAAACCGACTCGGAATTTTGCTTTTGGTCGAGAACCGACCTGCTAGGTCAACGAACCTGTCTAGACAGTTAGACAAAGGCTAACCGGCAACAGGTCGGAAATTCTCTTATTTTTGATTTCTAACGGTCTTTCGACCATCGGAAAATTTTCCTAATTAATAAAAATAATTTCTAACGGTTAAAAACTTAAAAATCCGACTAGATAAACTTTCTAGCCAACCAAAAATAACTTGTTTTTCTCGCGGGAAATAGCGCAAAAATTCTCGAGCTTCCTTGTGACATCATAACGACCGCTTATCAGTACTTAAGAAGCAGCCAATCAGAGTGCAGGGGAAAGTTCCCATAGCCTAACATAGGCGTGATTCATCGTTTTTTGTAAATTTTGCACGCGGCTCGCATTCTGTGACGAAGGCAGAGGTGCAAGACCACTTAACCTGTTACGTCACACTGGTCAGCACAGTAACATAGGACGTACTACACCGTACTACTATTACGTACTGTACTGTACCATAGTAATGTATATTAACCCGTGTACTGAGTCACCAACAGACACATCAACAACAACATCTCTCATCGGACGTTCTGACACTCGGAAGTTCCTGAACCAAAAGATGTTCGATTTCATCGAACATCTTCACACAAAAGATTGTTCGACTTCCTCTTCTAACTAATAAAACTTTTAAGGCTCCAAGAGCTGACCTGATTCGACAACAATGAATCCTAGAACGAGTACGCGAGAAAGTTCAACACGGACTATTCTCGGCGTGCGAACATGACCGGAAAGTACTCACCGGTACGCCGGTCAAGACAAAAAGTCAGCTGTCCTCAACCGACTCGACTAAGTCGGCCGAAGCAAAGGAGGACGCAACGAACGATTCTCTCGCTGACTCGAATCCAACCTCGGATGACAGTTTTGAGGACGCCAGGATAAAACATTCTGGAAGCCCCAGCTGTCGAAGCAGCCCCGTCCCACCCGACCGGGGGATGCGGAACAGCTGCAGGCAGGGACCACATTGTCTCATGCCGACCTAGAGTCGAGCTCACACAGAGCTCAAAACTCGGTAACGGTCACAAAGACTACCGAGCTCGGACGGCAATCACCCAACGAGAAGGAAGAAGTGCCGAAGCCGACCTCCCCCAACATGGACATACCGACTAACCAAGTCGGACGGAAATCGCCGACCACACAGTTCGAGCGAAAATCTCCGACCAAAGAAGTCGGTGAACAACAATCGACTACGGTGGCCGACCAACAAACGGTCAACCGATCTTCGGCAAAGGAAGTCGACCAACAACAGGCCGACCTGCCACCAAGAAAAGAGGTCGAACAGCAGACCTTGACCGGAAAGGAAAATCCGACAACAGGAGTCGGCAAAGTCCAACCGACCACACAGGTCGGAAGGATTTCGCCAAACTCGAAGGTCGGTCAACAGATGCCGACCATAGAGGTCGGAGAAAAGGAAGTCGGTAAGAAGCAACCGACTAGCCTTGAACGGCAACCAACCGACACAAAGTCGGATGCGGCCGTCCAGCCGACCAAAATACCGACAGGAACGGAGGATTCCGAGGTACCGCCACGAAGCGGCCCTCACCCAGCCGGATCGCCAACTAACATGCCGGCATCCAACGAACGGGCTATTTCGCCGTTGAGTCGACCTTCGCCAACCGGACGCGAGTCGACCCGAGCAACCGAAGCTCAACAAACGGTGAAGTCGACTAAGGCGACACAAAGTCGACCTGTCGACCTGACACTTAGATCGTCACCACCGATGTTCGAAACGGGCGAACTCGGCAGCACTCCGTCACCGACAAACGAAGTCTTCGACGCAACAAATGCCTCAAGACCGAGTAGTGCAGACGGATTTTTCACGACACCACCTAAGTCCGATAAGGAGAACCTCGGATACCAGGCCAGTGCACTCGAATACACGGCCAAGAAGTGGATCGCGGCAACACCGCCCGAAAAGATCAACGATCTCGACCTTCTCCGAGCGAGATGCCACAAACTGATCACACAGATCGTTTTGGCGGACAAGATTGTCGACTCGGCAGAAGGATCCCTCCGAAACTCGGAGGACACCCATAAACTCGAACGGAGGAAATGGGAACGAGACATGGCCGATGCCAACAAGGGTATCGCCACCCAACAACGGGAAATCGACCGGCTCAACGCCATATTGAAGCGAGCTGACTTACCGTGTCGATATGAAGAAGACCAAGTCGCCATGCTCTCTGGTAGACTGGAACGGTCAACAGCGGCCGTCTTCGAAATCAAACGCAAACTCGACGAGGCGCACAAAGCCCTCGAAGAGGCGGAAAACGAGTTGGCCGACGCGCAGACGGCGTTGTTCGAATCGGAGATGGGGGCAGGAGCGTTCCACCAGCAACTTAACTCGGCCAACGAAGAAGCAGAGGTCTATCGAAACGAAGTCGATAGATACGTGGTGGAACTTAAGAAGGCCGATAACGAGATCGACCGACTAACGCAACGAACCGACGAACTCGAGTCGGAAATGGAACTCCTCCTCGTCAGAATGGGACGTCAATTCATTGACGCACACACTCGGCAAACAGACTTTCCTAACCAGAGGACAGCCGATGCTGACCTGGTTGAAGCAAACGCCCAGCTGGCCGACCAACTACATCGACTGAACGAAGTCCTTAAGGAGGAACAGAAACTCCGAGCCCAGCTAGAATATAGCTTGGCCGAAGCCCGGAAAGTGAACGAGGCGCAACAGAACCGCATCGTTTACCTGGAAGCTCGTGAAGTCGAACTATACGACTTCGGCAAACAAGCCGCCCGCAATCTCACGGAGATGATGCGGCAAATGGACGAGATGGACACGGAAACACGGTGTCTGAGGGAAGAGAAAAAGCACCTGGAACAAAGCCGGGCGGAACCCCCTCATATCGAACGTCCATGGCACAGGATCAACAGCCGTCACGAACAATTAGTG